AAGGCAAAGTTCAGGCTGTGAACTGAATTTTTTATTTTTTATGTAGCGCTTGATTGTCTTTGCTCTGTGTATGAAGCACTATCCCATCGTATATTTCGTCATTGACGATAATACTCTCCAGAATCCTCAAAGTGTGCAGAGACAGTGGAGTCACTGGAGAATACTTAGTTTTCCCTTGTTACGGTTGGCTATTCCTGCTATCTCAGTAAATTTAAAAAAGAGTTTAGTTGCCTTCTGACCACAATACAAATGAAAGTTTTAAGTTAAATAAATAGCTTTCCCTTAGCTGAAACTATAATATTGTCCAGTGCCTCTAAAACATCCATAAAAGCACTGAAGTACCCGCATATGCCTGGAAGCAGATGCCTGGCTAATGTTTCTTGCTTGTTAGAAAATGTGTATGTTACTTAACCTCTTGCATATTTATCTAAGACCAGAAAAATACAGACTTCAGTAGCACCTCTGCAGCTTTTTTAAAAGCATCCGTATAAACCCAGGCCATGTCCTCATACTGCAGGTGTAGGTGTAAATTTTAGAGGAGCATCAACGCCTGTAAAAACCGCAGTGGTTTCAGTGCAGCAATGAGTTTATGCCCACTTTGGAACCCTGTTATACTGCTGGATTGCTTTAGAGAAATACCGGTTGGGAAGAGAATCAGGCCCTTAATCTTCCCATTAAGTGGGCACGGCTGTTGCAGCTGTCGGTGCATGCAGAAATAACTGGCAGAGTCAGTGTAACTTCTGTGGTGTAACTTTGGGGCAGAGTTTGACAAGCATTTCTTTTCTGCAGCAGTGCTGCATCCGATGCTGCCTGCCCTGGTGGTCTCACTTGTGCTACTACAACTGTTCACGTGGCAACTGAGTGGCTTAGGTCAGAAAAGGTGATTTGGGTGAAAAATAACCCAGGGTGAAACTTTTTTCCCCTTTTTTTCTTAGTACTGGTCTACTCTCTGATGTAGTGTGTGGCATAGTTTTGGCAAGGTAAGGGGAGTTGCGGTGAGGGAGCAGAAACAAGAGCGTGAGTTAGGCTGGCACTGCCTATGAAAGAACCAGTTGTTGAACGAGAGCCCTAAGAACAAATGGAGAAGATTCCCTCAAGTAATAAAAACGATGGTCATTTTTTGAGTTTTATTTCCCATAGTCCATGGTATCATCCAGACTGAATTGCAGTCAGCCCTCCTCCTGCTTTACTCAACACTGGGAAGTCACTTGGGTACAGTGACGGTGTGAGGTGTAAAATAGGGATGAGTGACTATAAATGTTGTCCATGCACTGAAGTCACACCGTGCTGGAGCGCTCATCTCCTAAAACCTCCCCTAGATCTTGACGAGGTGGCTCAGGACTTTGGCACTGCACGTGTGTGAAGCAGATGAAGGAAGGGAAGTCATGTATCTGAATGATCTGACTATTTAACTAAATTTTGTGGAAGAAAGCACGAAACTTCATCTTCATGAAAATGCATCTGACTGGAGTATGTACTCAGTGTAGCTGCTCTTTCTGTGGCTTATGAGTTCCATGGATCCTTCTGTGTGATAGCCCAAGAAAATATTAATATATTACTTTACAACAGATACCAGAGTGGTTGAGCTTGTGCCCTTTACGATGGTTTTGGTGGGCCTGCTGCATTTCCTGCTGTGACCTTGAAGGGACTGGGTTGTTAGGACAGTATTTGCTTAAAGACAAGTTTGTGGGTCCTTATACAATTGGGGGGGGGGGGGGGGGGAGGGACAAGAATTGGCTGGAGGTGATGGAGGCAGCTTTTAAGGGCAGCGTACAAAGCCCAAGAGATCAGACTTTCCGCTGTGTCTGTGCCTGGTCAGGTGCTTAGGCTGGTACCGCATGTATCCAAGGATACCCCACAAATACTGGACATACAGCAGTATCACAGCCAGAGGAGGCATTTCTAAAAGCAGGTACCCACCTCATGGTATGCAAAAGATTGAATTATTCATAAGTACAAAGCCTGCAGCTGTGTATCATGTTCATTTTAGCACTGAGTCGAAGCTTTCTTGACCTATGTTCAGTGTAATTAAAAACAAATCCCTCAAATCCAAGAATTGTTTGGAAACGATTCTGTAATGCTGGGGCAGTGTTCTGCTGCTTGCCCTAATTGTATGGATTTGGTCGTAGGAGCTGCTGGGCTCCAGCACTTCCATTGATTTGTCACAGTCTACAAATCCTGGAGTTTCTTAACACCATGAGGAGTAGAAATGACTTAAAGAAAATAATTATGTGTATTTACTGTGAATGCATTATGCACAATTTTATTACATTTATATTAAAATAAGTTGAGATGCATTTTGCTTTATTTACGCTATTCTCAGGCTGTTTTCCTTTTGCCTAAATGAAACCCTTTTGATGCTCTTGCTTGCCTGGCTGGCTGTAAACCAGGTATTTAAACAAAAATAAAGAGTTGCCAGTTTTGCCAGCTGGGGATGAGAACCCGGCTGGTGATATGCGGGTTCGGGAGGCAGTTAATCCAGCTTTTATGTTTTTTTATGATTTTATGTAAAAAGAGGTTAAAAATCACATTTGGCTCTTTCTTTGTACCACTGTTTTGTTGCTGTTGTGGGAATGCAGCAAAAGGTTGCTCATACTTTTTATTATTATTAGGTAAAGTCCTGCATAAATTAGGTAAAGCCCCAGATACAGTTCGCTTTAGCTATTGGCCATGTGATTTGTCTTGTTCAGAGAATGATGCTTTTTATCTTCCTGTTGCCTTCTTTTATAAATCACACATGCAAACCACACCTCAACTTACTTGTAAAAAGAATCTCCCATTGCCTTGCAATTGTATATATTTTACTAGCTTCAAAAGAAAAGAGTAGCTAACTGTACAAATAGGAGAAATGGTAATGGTGCTAATAGATATAGTAGAAAAATAGATAATGCTTTTATTCTGTGGCAGAAGAAACGGTGATTTAAAGACAAGCGTCACAGACTTTATATACAGTTTTTCAGCAAATAGCTTGCAATATGCTCAAACTCATAAAACAATTAATTTTAAAATGCAGGAGTGAGTTAGTTTTGTCATATGTACTTATTCAGATAATTTGTTGTATTTTACACTTTCCAAAATTTCACCCTCTATTTGGAAATATCAATGATGTAACGAGTCTGTGTGTTTTGGCACAGTTGCAAATACTATGTGTTAATGTGTTGATATTTATGATTTTTTAATCTTATATACACAAGAGGAATTTGTAATACACTTCATCGTGTTTCTACTACTAATCCTTAAGGACAGTGAAAACTAGGAATTTGAATGCATTTATTACTGTGGGATTGTCAAAATTGCCATGCTGGATCAGATTGCATTTTGTTTCTGCTAATAGCATGTACCAGATACTTCAGAGCAGGGCTGGATTTACTGGGGGAGAAAAAAGGAGATGCAGATAAACGAGCTCGACACCCCTCGTTAGGACTGGCTAGGGTAGTGCCTGTGTCCTGTGATCTGGTCACGGCCACTTAGTGTCCCCAGATGGGTGAGGACTGTGTCCCCTTGCTTCAGAGGAAATTATTGGAAGTCATCTTACACTGTTCAGACAATCACAAGATAATGTACTCATGGAAAAAGGTTATTTCTGATCTGTTAGAGGTTGCCTTATTCATTAAAGCCTGAAGGCTTTACTACACATCACCAGATTTTTCACTACTGTATATCTAAATGACTGTTCTGTGTGTCTACTTAGAGTTTGAATCTGGGTGAGCTCTTGGTGGTGGTGATTGCACGTGTCTGTGTGTTGTAAAAAGTATTTTGTTTTCTGTGGATTAGTTAGTTGTTTGCTTTTTTTTAAAAAATCAGTCATATGTGCTGCCTTTCAGAATCTGCCTTTTAATGATACAGAAACAATTCTAAATACAGTCTAACTGTATTAGCTGCATTTCTTTGATCTTTCTAACTTTATTATTTAAGTCTAATTTCTTATTTTAAGGTTTTTGCCTCTCTAATAGGTCTTTCTGCAGCAAATATTGGCAATTTGGCACATAGAGTTGTACTGCCTTCTGTATTACTATTCATTAACTTCTAACCGTTATATCTTTTTTGAGTGAAAGGGTATGATCTTCTAGAAATTCACAGAAATTGGAATTATATATGTATATATTCTGTAGCCTTCAGTTTCCTTATTGCTTATGGTTCCATTATGGGTGTATGCTGCTGTTGTCTCCATTTCTACAGTTTAATATGAAGGTGTATTAAGGTCAAGGCACACTGCTTAGATTCCTTATTCCAATTCTCTGGGGCTGCTGGGAGAAGGGCTGTGGAGTAGGTTGTTTTTAGGCACACAACATTGGAGGCATTATGTTAAATTATTTAAATGTTACCATATTTCTGTGATCATATAATTTCATATAAACATAGTGTTTAAACAGTATCGTATAAACATAGTAAACAGTATCATATAAACATTGTCATATTTCTTTGCATTAGCACAGTTCAGTTGTTTGGACTACTAATGAAACTGTCGATAGAAACACATTGAGGACTTTTAATATAAACAAAGATCATAAAGAATCTAAGCTTATCTTAGTAAGGTTAAGGTGTTTCTAAATTTGAGGCTTTATTCTTACAGGTGGGGTAAGGAGAGAGGAAGTGACTGAGCAAGGAGATGCTTCACTTCTTCTCCCAGAAGAATGCTAACTGAGGCAGTAGTGCCTGTAGATGAAGTGTCTCTTCCTAAAACTGTGTACACTATAAAAGGGATGGTAGAGGGCACAGGAAAGGGGAAAGTGCAGTCATGATCATTTTGAGCAGGTCATTCTCAATTTTATATTTTGCTTTTAGCAGTACGGTCCCCGGTATGCCTGGAATTTCAGTGGGCCCAGGTGTGTGGGTCAGTACTGCAGTTGCATGTATTGAGCTGGGTTCTGGGAGTCCTTGTGGCGCACTGTGGAAATAAAGTCTTGGAAACACGTTCATATAGAGGTGCATCAAATAGACTGAAATGATTGTGTCTGAAATAGTGCATGTCTTACAGCTGGTTTTGGTTTCTGTCTTAGGTGTTGGAAGATAATGACTATGGTCGTGCAGTGGACTGGTGGGGATTAGGAGTTGTCATGTATGAAATGATGTGTGGAAGATTACCATTCTACAACCAAGATCATGAGAAGCTATTTGAACTCATACTAATGGAGGACATAAAATTTCCTCGAACTCTGTCTGCAGATGCAAAATCATTACTATCAGGCCTACTGATAAAGGATCCAAATAAGCGGTAAGTGAAATTACTTGGGTATACAGGTGTAATAAATACTCTAATTGTACTGGGTAATGTAAAAACAGGCCAGTGGTGCCTGGTCTTCCTGGCTGAAGGACCTGTCAGTCACAGGAAAGGGCCATATGCAGCCCTACTGTCTCAGATTTCCACTTTTTCAAGCACTTTGTATATCAGCAACGATATACAAAGTGAGTTTAACAAGCAAAAGGGTAAAAAGCATGTGGAAGAGAACACTTCTTTAATCATTCACAGCAAACATAGGGATCTTTTCAGGTTTAGGTTGTGTACTGGAACAAAGGGAAAGCTCTAAATTGTTTTTTCAGAGTATGACTTAACCCTGAGTTGGCTGTAGTGTCTCATGGGGACTACACCACTTTTTCTTGGAAGTGATGATGCCAGAAGACATGTATAGACAGCCACAGATAAATTTTATTAGGGCACGTAAGTAGATCATATATTAGACCATGTAAACTAGAAACTTGTTAAAGAATACATCTTCTGAGTGAAATTTAAATACAGTGATTTGAAAGCAAATATCACCCAGCTGCTGCCTGTGCCCTTTTGTGGTGGGGCTTTTCTCTCTGGGATTGTTGCCTAGGAGAGCCATTTTCCAGTGGCTCCTGCACCGGACTAGCAGTGTCCGGTCCCCCTGGCTCTAAAACAAATCTCTGTCTTTGTAAATCAGTGAGATTCGTCTGTAGGTCCCCTCTTTTCCCCAATCTCTCTGTTGTTCTTGCGAGTCTCTTGGCGTGTTTTAAGGCTGCAGGTATTCTTCTGTCTGTCTGTCTCACTTCTCTAGTCCTCCTTCATCCTCAGTTTGTTCTCAAGAAGTTTTGAGTAGTGGGCATTGCTCGCTGGTGCTCAGGGCAGGACTGGTTGCCGTGTCTCTCTAAGGGATTTGCTTGCACGCAGCCAAGTGCAGCAGCCAGGACAGCGCAAGCGGTCAGCCTTTCTGCTGCTGCCCAGCAATGCCTGTTTAACTGAATTTACTGTATGCAGTGAAAGCAAACTGTGGCCAACCAACCAAATACAGAGTAAAGTAAAAATTTGTTCCTGTAGCAACTCCTAATGCATTTTAACCTCCAAACAATCTGACCCATCGAATCTGTTAACCTTTAGAATTGAAAAGATACTTCCTTCTAATTAATCTTTGCAGACAGTAGTGTTTATTAGACTTACATTTACAAGCTTATTCATATTCAAGTTCTGGTGCTAGCTAATGCTAAATAGGGTGGGAGCACAGAGGTTAACAGCAACTCAGCTTTTCGCTGAGCAGCTGGATGGGAAGATACTGAGAGAAGTCTGGAGACTGCAGGCTAACTGGGATGCTTAGCAGAGATGTAGAGAATTTTACAATGAATAGTTGAGAAACAAAGAGGAATACAGCTTGGAAATGAGAATAACTTTATACCCAGTTACTGCAAGACTGAGGTAGTAGTCCAGAAGATTTTTGTAATTTGGCAGCAGGGTAATACCAATACAGATTTTTTTTCTTGGTTGTGGGAATTATTGTTCCTTGCAATAAATGCTTTAGAGAGGAATTTATCTTACTTAAAAGGTTGCTTTTAAAATTTGTCTTTATATCTTTAGCAGTTCCTTTTAATGAAACACACACTACTTGTGTCACTCTTCTTGTCAATATTTAACGTGTGTGGGCTGCTTGTTCAGTTAAGATTAGCTTTTTTCTTTTGCAACTTCTTTCTGTTAGCCCAGTAGGATAGCCAGTCTCAGGAAGAAGTTAGATGAGAGCTGAGCCATTCTGAAAGTCCACGTGCTGTTGAAAGGGGCAGAGGTTCCCTTCACTGGATGTGTGCTTCTTTCTCCACCAACAGCAGCAGCACAAGGGAGCTCACTAAACTTGTTGAGTCAAGTTTGACTTGCTAATGCAACAAAAACCAGCAAGTTCTTTCTCGTTTTCTCATTACGAGGTTAGTTTTCTTCCAGGTTAGTGAGCTGACTCAGCTCACAGTCGTCAGTGGGAATGATGCTATAGATGCAAGTGAGAGGGTAGAGGTATGGGCAGGGGTGTGACCCTCCTCTTTTGGCAGCAGTGACCACTTCCATGAGCTCAAATCACCTTGGGCAAGTACACCCAAAGTAGGTGGAATTCACTTCCTAAGATGATTTGCCAGAATCTGGCTTTGGCAAGCTATGGGCCACAGTGAAGTGTGGTTATTTACAATGGCCTTTAAACAACCTTCTCAGCAGGCCTACAATTTATTAATTTATACTAATTGACTCAGATTGAGACTATTTTATGGTAATTGGTTAATTGTTACAGCACCCAGATGCAACAGCAGTGAACACTGTATAAAAATGTGTGAGTCATTACCGATTCAGTGCCTGGCACCTCCTTGGCAAAATGTTATGTCAGCATTGTTGGGTTGGTTTGGGTTTTTAATAGTGCCAGAACGTTGGTTGGTCTTTCAAGAAAAGTAAACTTAAGTATGTTTCTAAAATGAACGAATTATTAAAAAAGCTCATCACAGACAGCAATGAACACTGTAGTTGGATTAATCAACTAGAATAGACCATGGCATGGATACTTCTATCACATTTTCTCTCAAGATCACTTGAATTCATATTAAACAGGTGAGAATTACACATTAAATGGGTGAGAATTGTTCCCAGATAGTCAAAAACAAATGGTCACTTTTCCAACCATTACAATAACTTAATCTTCCTTTAAGAGTAATGCTTGTTTAATATGATTTTTTTCCCCCACTCTCTTTTAGACTTGGTGGAGGCCCAGATGATGCAAAAGAAATCATGCGTCATAGTTTCTTTGCTGGAGTAAACTGGCAAGACGTATATGATAAAAAGGTATGTCTTCATATGACATTGAATAATCTGGCTTCTGCAAAGTGGTTTCAACTGATAGTCATAGGACTGCTGCTCTCTGAAGTTAGTCATGTTTTTCTTACCAACTTTTTGTGTTAATACAAATGAATAATTATTCTGAACTAGGTGTACTTACTTAATCTTTTGTTTTTCAGTAATAATTTGATTTTGGTCAGTGGACCAAAAATAAATTTTGCAAACCAACCTAAACTCAGCAAAGATTTTTCTTTTATTATGTAAATGTCCAAATCTTTTCCTTTCCTTTTTTCTTCCTGGGCCTTCAAGAGAAAAGTAGGTGTATGACTCAAGATAATGTGAGAAAATGTAATGGAAGTTTATCCTGAATTGTCTTTTTATTTCTGCCTTTTATTGAAAAGTTGTTTTCTGGAAATAGCAAAATGAAGTGATTGGAAGGGAGTCATAGCAAAAATCTACTTTCTGATTGTTTGTGTTTAAGTAGAAATCTTTTTCTAAATTATTTTTAAAGAGGGATCTAAGAAAATTAAAATAGCATTAAAACACTGAGCCAAAAGAGCTTGTGGAGAAAGCGAGTACTGGGAATTCAATTGGAACAGTTTTCTCTAAACCCAGTCCTGTTCCTGTAATGATCAACACTTTGGGGATGATTTTAGAAAATGAGTTTATCTTACTCAGTAGTGAAACTCAATTTGACTTAAGTTGTTTTATATACAGAAGCTGATTTTATCTCAGTACTTGTGTAAGAATTTACTTGTTGCTATAAACCCCTTCTATTTTGATAAAGTCTTTTTTTCCCCCCCAACTGTTTTACATTGTTAATCTGCCAGTTGAGCTGTGTAATTTTAAAAGATAGATTTTTCTCCTTTTTTTGCTTTGTTCAAATAAAAGGAAAATGGAAGACATACGAATGAGCAGAATATGTTTATGCTACAATGTCAATGATACAAACTGTTTTTTCAGTTGTTGTTGAACTGGAATTTTAAAAATGTGTGGTTGTTGGTGTGGTACTTCTCTGACAAATACCGGAATTGAAATAAGAGCCTGTATATGATGATACAAAATATGGTACTCTGAAGTTACTTGATACAAGTGTGATTTTTCCCTGGCAGTATCATGAGGTTTCAAGAAACTCTAAAATAAATAATCAGAGCAAGTATATTAATCAGGTTACTTTATGAGCTTAACCACTGGTTGGTTCTGTAAGGACGTCGTAGAGAAGCACTTTGAGGATAAAATGTAAAATACAAGTTGAGGACCTTTCTGGAGTTTAAAAAACCCCACTAAAATCGATTGGATCGCAGTGTGCTAGAAGTGGGTGAGAAAGAAAAAGCTGTTACATTGCTCTCGCTCTGTTGAAAAAGATTTCTTAATTATTTTACATTAGAAATAGAGCTCTCAATTCTATGCTGTGTTCAACTTCATATTTAGCAAGGAAGTGTAGATACTCTTAATTTTTAAGCATCCGCTTTGAGTCTTTCCAAATCAACACGGCAAATGTCTTACAGTCAAGATCTTATTTTGAGCTATTAAAATAGAAGGAAGTATTTTGCAGGTATTAAATATATATATATATTTAATATATGCATAAATATATATATATATAAAAATACAAATGCAGGTATTTTGCTTTTATGGCCATGGAGGTGGATGTGGCTTATTGGAGTATTATAACTGGAGAAATTGTAGTCATCCATTGTTTACTCTGTCCACTGTTGCTTTGAGAAACTAAATTTGCCAGTAAAAAATCAGTTGAAGTTCCTCAGTTGAACAGCTAGCTTCTAGGATCATAGGAATTGCTTTTGTGCAGTATTGGCACACGACGTCTTCTTTATGGAAAAATAACTCATAAAAATGACTTCTGACAGTATGTTTTTCTGTTTAATTAAAAAATAGTTCTGTTACTATTACAAAGCCATTTGTCCGGTTGGTTAAAATATCCAGTTGTTCCTTCTGCAGACAGTGTCTTATCAGTTCTGAAGTATGCAGAGTAAGGCTGTGCTCTGAAATATAAACTTCAAACATAGTAATAATGTTAATGAACTTTTACTAAGTATGTTTATTAGAATGCTTATATGAATATTTTTTAGGTTTTGGTGTTCTAAAATAACTCGGGAGGAATGTGCATCAAGCAAGTTTGATTTTCAAATAGATTTATTCTGGGCTTGCTTCTGTTGCTGTTTATTGTTAGTAGTATAGTCGTCAGCAGTAGGGTCACTTGATGAAATTGGTAGTTGATATAATTATTTGCATAGTAAAAATATTTCACAGTATTCTTGCCTCAGGTTTGTGCACCATGAAACTGTAATTTTCTGGCTATGTTTCAGGAGTGTGTTTCTGTTAGCAATGAAAGAACTGAAGTTCACATTCAGAGTAATGGAAACCAAAAAATCATGTATTCCAAGTAGTTGCTGGGGGATGGTTTTGTACATGTGCACACTATGCTCCTGTGCCACTAATTTTATCATTTTTATTAGAGATTAAGTACATCTCTGTACTTACTAGGTTATCACTTTACTGGTGTGATTAGAGACAGAATTATATATCTGTAAACTTAGAGTATTTCATGCAACAGCAGTAGCTCTGTCAGGTCAAATGGATCCAAATGGTCAAATGGAATTATTAGCTCTCCGATACTGCTAACTAATTAAACTAATTCGGTGCTACACAATGATAATAAAATGTTGTATGGCACACTGGAGCAGAGAAGGTCGTTGCCTTTAAATGAAAAATGTATAGTAGTTAGCATTTGTGATCAGATGTATTTATTTTTGGCAGAAAAACCATGAGGGCATATGAAAAAGAGCAGTCTGTGCCAGGTTCTTCCTGTGATCATCTCAGCCCTGATGAGTTTTTATCTCTGTGCCTGAGTATGAGAAATTGAATAGTTTGGCAAACTCTGAAGACTTCAAAGGGCCGTCTACTTCTAAATAAAATATTTGTTTTATTTTTAGCTAGAATCAGGAAGCTTTTTGAAATGTCTCTGTTACTCATTTAAGAATTGTTTTAGTATATTTTTATTTGGGTTGCAGAAATATTCTTAAGTTGTTGGATGTTCTGTCTAGGGTCTTTCACCGAACAAAAACCACATGGGCATTAATTTAAAGGTAGGAATTTGGGTATGTCTTCAGGCTTGCAGCTTGAAGCACTCAGGTAGCCTCATGTCAAAGGAGATCCAGAAGCCTGGGTTTCCTCCTGCGTGTAATATGGATGAAAGAAGAAGAAAGAAACCATACGGGAATTTGGGCTGAGGTACATATATCTCCTTCTGATTTCTGCTAATACCTCTGATTGTTCCTGAAGCAAATTAGGGAGAGCTAACAAATTTATTTGTTAGTACTGGGAAGGGAGCAGGGGCAAGTGGCAGTAATGGTTAAAGCTGGGGTGTCTGATTTTGCTGCAGGCGCAGCACTTGCGAAGGCACTTACCTCATTGTGGAGGCAGCGACATTCAGCATGAAGTCTGACAGCTGCGAGAAGCTGTTCCTTACTGTAACTACCTTTGCTTTACTTAAGACGCAACAGCAGCAGATGATGAAATCCCATGATTGAAGCCCTGGGTTCAGGCCTGGCAAAATCTGCAATATAACTATAATCTTAAATGCACATTTAAGTACTTTGTGTATCAGATTTTGGGGAAAGGGCAGGAGGGAAATAGGAAAATACCAACATCTGGTTTTAGGCCGTTGCTATTTGAGTCATGCTATTTTTGTACACTTATCTGCAGTGCAGCAAAGCCTGTAGAAATGACCCTCGTTACTTGCTTTTGTGTTGTTGCCATGCAAAGTAGTAAAAAGATCAGAAAACTGCTAACTGGTCTGATCTTTTCATTGTGTTTCCAGTGATACTTTAAACTATATGGGCAGACCTGGCGGTTGATTACCACCCCTTCCCCAGCTGCTTGAATTTACAGGGAGGAAAATATACATAAGGGTGTCTGTCTGATTCTTAAACTTGTTGCTGTAGTCCTGGGGGTTGTGGTTTCTTTCCGGCCGTTGCATCAGCATTGTATTGCTTGGAAAACAGAGTTTGTCCACGGGCAAAACCCCCTGCTGAAGCCTGTCTTCCTGTGGATTTGTGTTGTGTGTCCTTCCACCACTGAAATCCCAGCTCTTCCTCCTCCCCCTGCCAAGGACCACCACACGCAGTGTCCTACCAGGGTCCACGGGGTATTTCCAGCTCCTGGGCATGCTGCGACTCCTGGCTGGGCAGCAGGCTGCCTCCTTCTGGGCCGGGTATAGGGATGAACCAGTCCCTACATGAATGCTTACTGGCTGGCTTCAAGCTCAACTCAAATTACTTGTATTCCCTTCAGTGGAAACTCCAGTTTGGGGGGGATGGACAGGGATGTCTGTCTTCTATTCAGTAAATTAGATTCAGAAATTCTGTGGGAAGTGTATATGTGCCTAGTCTTTTCTCCATCATGGTGCCTTTGCCCAGCCATTGGGAATTTGTTAGGGAAGGATGTACAGACTGACAGAGTGCGTAATCTCATCAGCTCTTGTTTCCTTTGGTAGCTGAGCTAACACCAGAAAAAGGACAAAAAATTACTGTTAGGAAAGGAAAATCAGTATTTTAAAGGACTTGCGTATCTTTAAGTAAAATATTGTTGTTGAGGATCTGGTGCTGAAAGACTGAACTAAGGTTTTGTGTTGTTAGTATCTCTGCATGATTTTTAGGGTCACCAAGCATTTGCTTTGGCGGGAGCTTTAAAAGATGTATAAATGAGGGAACGTGTATTAACAGATACGCATCAGAAAAGTATAAAATTTTGAGACAAGCTTTGCTAGTGTCCTTTTAAAACGTTTTATTGTGGTATTTTGTAAGTTAATGAATTTCAGTTTACGTGAAAATAGACTGTTTACTTGGAATGTCATTTAGTAATTTAGCTAGTTTGCTAATACAAATACTTTTTTCTTTTTTTAAGTTGAGAAGTCTGTGAATTGCGATGTGTTTTCAGCACTTCCAGCTGAGCATGCTTGTGATGAAATACAAAGGCGTATTTCA